TACCATACAAAAATTATTGAATCGTCGGTTTGGTCTAGTTCAATAATTTTTAGGAGTAGTTCGGTCCAGTCCTCAAATCAAATGCATTATTTTCAGTCCAGTCCGATTTCAAAAAAAAGAAATGAAAATCAGTCCAGTCCGGTCCCAATCATGGTAGGTACTTCAAATGTAAATACAGATATTGTTATGTAAGCAAATAAAACGAAAAAAACCTACAACTATAGGTACATATTTATTTATAAAGTGGGGTAGTCTGGTACAGTGTAATACTAAATGCATCATATGGTACGGTCTCGGCTAATACAGACTGAACCTTACGGATTGGTCTATAAACGATCCGAAATGTTTTAAGATCAGACCGACAATCCGGTCTACGGTCTGCTTTATTAATTGTTATTTAATTACTGGTCTGGTCCGGTTTAGAAATAATATGAAGCCATCAGTTCGGTCCAATTTTGGTCTTTGATTAACGTTTAAGTGTGGTCCGATCCGACTTCGGTCCCCTGGTAAAATTTGTAATCCGTTCTGGTCCTTAAAATAATGGACCATGCAGATTACTACCACATGCCTATATGAGAGAATTTAAAAAAGTTAATAAATAATAATAAATAAAAACAAACTTTTTGTTTCATTGCTTTTATTACCTATGTTTATTGCTAATGACATCAAATATATCAGATATAACGAAATTTCGTTATTTCCGTTATATTATATGGTATTTTCCGAGTTTTAGTAAAAGTAGTAGGTAAAGAATCCAAATTTAAGCATTCTCAAATAAATTATTAACAATAATTTCATTCAAATAAAAACTGTCGATTTTATTTATTTATTAATTACTTTTCTTTTATTTAGTTATCCTCATTTTATTTATTATTTTATTATTAATTTTTTTTATGACTATTATAGAACTGGATATCTAACCAAATTAGTAAATTTGACATCGTTGCATACAATTTCATACGCAATCGTATTTATTTATTTTTCTTACCTACCTTTTTGTTACCCATCTACAAACGTACACAATCGTGTTGCCAAAAAGAACATCGTGTTCTATCCATTACAAACACGTATAAACCCTTGATATAAACGGGTAATAAATAAATAATTTTTATTCCAAAGTGAACAATTTAATTAGTTATCGTTTTATGATCCCACTTCGTATTTACATGAACTACGTATAGTTATATATATATATATATATATTTGATATATCAAAATCGATAAACTTTTTTTTTTCTTGTCTAATACAAACAACAAGTAAAGTAGTATGACATTGTCTATACATCGATATTCTCTGAGACGAATTCGTGTTAAAACGTGTTTTTGTGGTCAAATAATAGTACAATACTGTAGAACTTATTTTTTTTTAAAAAAAAAAAACATTGTTTCTTACGTCTGTTGAAATATTTCGGATTTCCTCGTTATTTTAGTTTCCTGCTTTTTTCCTTTCTTACCACAGCAATTTTGTTAAACATCAGTGTTGTTATTATTATATTACCTGCATGATTGATTATATTTTATACAGCGATATTCACCCTTGTAGCGACCCTTGTTGTCCATTTGTTTTCTTTAATAAATTCGGTTTGGGAATAGGAAATAATAATAATAAAATAAACCATCATTCCAAAAACGTATACAATTTCTGTACAATGACGTGATGTGGTGCCTTTGCAGAATAGCAATATAACTGTCTAGAATCGACTCCCCTTAGCGTTCGGAACAATTTATTTTTTTTTATTAATATAAAACCCAACGTTTATTAGCCGTAGAGCTTCAAAAGAACACAATTAAATTTGTCATTAAACTATATATATATAATTATTAAAAAGAATGCTTACACGATCAATGGTGTAGCTAGAAATTTTATCGAGGGGTAATACGTTAACTAACACGTTTAGTGTTCTTTATTAAGTTTTATTAAATTTTTTATCTTATTTTATAATCTTTAATTATAACTTATGAGGTAAATACAAAAAAAAAAAAAAAATAATGATACATTAAAAATATTCGTATAAAATTGTATTGTTAAAAATAAAATTAAAAAATTTATCATTAGGAAGGAAATGATAATTTGAGTACTTAAAATATAATTTAAAAAATATACATTGAAAAAATAAAAATTAGAAAAGTTATAAGCAGCTTAAATATTGGGTAATATTTGGGTCAATTTAAAATATCGTTAAAAATTAGTATATTTGTTAGCTATGTACAGTATAAGGTGCCATCGTCCAAAGTGATATAACGTCCTGTTTAGATATTACAGTCGTAAAAATATATAAACAAAAACGTAAATGGTCATATGAATTATCAGTACGTATTAACAGTATTTATATTTTAAATATTTTACTGACTCAAATTAAAAACGTTATATTAAGCCATTAAAATGCAATAACTTGAGCAACAGAATTTATTTTTCAGTATGATAATTCCTTTGAAAATTGGAGAAAAGACACAGTTTTACCGAGAAAAACAAATATTAAAATGTTGAAAATTTTGAAAGTTTAATAGTAGGTACCTAATTATATAATTTACAACATGACAGGTTATTAATGTTTAACAGAGCTTCGCAAGTAATCGACGATCAGACAGCTTTGCGATTCAGCTTATAGTTTCATACGAAAGGACAAAACGAATGCTCCCGTCCTTGTTTGCGAAGAGACAGATTTCATTGAAGGATTTTTCATAAGGAAATCTACTTACTGTTGCTCTTGAAACTCGGTTATATGCCACTCTCACAACACTTGAATAAGATTCCGAGAAAACCGGCATTTATGTTTTTTAATGTTTTTCTTTGTAGTGTCAACGTTTTAAAAGCGTTGTCTGTGTCGTCATTCGCCCATAACACACACATACACACACCCGACTGTAGCAACGGATATATTCTGTTATTTATCTTTCCCTTACTTATCGTATTTTTTTCCGATACTAGAAGACGACTCAGACGGTCATGGAAATAATATTACAGAACAAAATAATTTCTATCGCGAGAACTTCATCTGCATCGCTTGTTTAAACGAACTCAAACTTGATATGCGCACGTTAAAGAATTTATATTATTGTAGTTTTGTTTGTATTGTAATTTGCCTTATCTTTGGAGACTTTTTGAGGTAACGCGTTAGCGATTGCTGGTTTTTATTTTTTTTTAATTTATCACCTTTGAAATTTGTGTAAATTTAGCAAAACGATAAACAATCGCAATGTGTGCGAATAGTTATGAAATGTTTTAATATAATTATAAATATATATTATGTTATATTGTTGGGACCTAAGAGGTGTTTTTAATATAAATATTTTAAAAATATTTCTGATCAATACTTCAACACTTAATTAGCAATAATTTATTTCGTTCATACGAAAGCGCAGATTAGTCAAATAAAATTATACGATATGAGTCATGTGCAGTAGGCACCACTCGAAACACAACTAACACAGTTAGGTAACACCCCAACACGGGTGTACTACCGATGGTCTTACACAAATATAATTGTTATGATCGACCACAATCGACCTTTTATTTAACGTTCAAGACGATTTAAGTAATAATAATAATATGATGTAAACATATAGTCGCTGGTCGACCGCTAATGATATCAAATAGGCGAACGTGAGTATGGATTATTATTATTTTGTCTCGGTCCCCCGTTTCGCGCATGAATTGTTTTCGGCGCGCCACTACAGGATATCCGGGGAAACACTCGTGTTGGCTTTTCCTATCGAACGGGATCGTTTGTTACCGCACGCCAACGTAACTTGTACCTGTATTATATATGTGCGTGCGTTTTGTACATTGCGCTTCTCGTCACCGAGATACGTTCGGCGGAATGAATAATTATTACGTTTTTATAGGATCCTTCGGAACAGAGTTGTTCGAGATAGAAAACACAGTGGCAGTTCGTCTCGATTTAATTGCTCAAAGGTTTTTGCACATCTGACCCAGATACGGCCACGTGGACCAATCCGAGCACGGAAACGTCCGGGGAATGATTAATGGCCGGTGCACCTACGTCCGTATAGTGGTAAAGGGAGGAGAGAGGAAATCGTTTGGCATGTTTATATCGTCAAGTGCTTTTATCGAAATTGTAAAAATACAAAAAAAAAATTGGAAAACTAAACGCAATATCGGTTACATGCGTTAGTGACCAAACCGCATTTTATGCTTGGATAAGAATACAATATGGACCGATATGTGTATGACGTACGTCTACGAGCAATATTATAAACGAGCGGTTATTTAGTACTTTTATTTCGCGGTAAAATAACATCTTGTACACGAACACCGGAATGTGAAAGATTTATTTTTTTATTTTAAAAATAATGTTCTCTATTTAAAATCTATTGTGTATAAGTCTGTTTAAACAACCGTGTATTTTTTAGCTATAACTTTAAGCATCGTATACAATAAAAACATAAAAATCACTGCTATTTAAAATTCCAAGCGTAGAATGTATTTTACATTTAACTTTCGAGTGCAATATTGTCCCTGAATTAACTTCATGTAATTTTATTTACTTTTGTGTATTCATGCCGTGATATAGTTATATATAATTATCTTATGCACACATGTGTAACACAAAAGTGATGCTTCGTTAGTTCATCAACGAAGTACTCGTATAGGTAATATAAAATTAAAAAAAAAAACACAAACAAATTAATTTAAGTGACTTAGGCGAAGCGAGAAGAGTATGATTTAATTTGTATAGAAATTTGACCAACTAAAAACCAAAACGAGTGAATCTAAACGGATTTTAAAATTCAAGGGTTAGCTATTTACAAGGAGCGAAGGATGCCTAGTCATAAGTATATACATATAAGGTAAAATGTTGTAGAAAACGTTAGAATGGCTGAAACAAATTATTTAATTTGGACCTAAAATATTACTATATTCAAAATATTGTGATATTAATAAAATTCAAACTAAATTTATTCAAAATGTTTAAAAATATTTCTTACAAAACAAAAATAAATAGATTAAATTAACTAAAATGAAAATTTTATCTTACTATTCAACTTATGCAGATTCATTCAACAATTACAGTTCAATATTTTCTGAAACAAAAAAATTAAAACAACAATTTAAAAAATATTTTTAAGGAAATCAAACGTATCCTAAGGTATATATATTAATTACATTTTGAGCTCAGAAAAAAATAAAACAAACAAATATAATACAGTTATACATATATTATTATAATTTCAAACGAAACTGCATATTCTTAGCTTAACAACTAATTAAGATTTGAGAAAATACTGTTAAAAACTTGAGTTTCACAAGATATACAATATACTCGCAGTATTTTATATTTGATTTTCTTGAAAAGTGAAACATGTTTTTGATCACTGAGCTAGTATGTAAATTATTAATTTTTAATAAAATTCTAAAAAATCCATAACTTATAGTAATGATCAATGAAAAATTATACGATTTATTTTAGTGCATAAATTACAGTTTTAAAATTAAAAACAATCAACGAAAAATACTCTGTTTTATTATAAAATCGCGTAACAAACTTTTTATAATTCTTATTAAAATTATTTTTATGACATGAGTACTTGTTTTAGAATTAAAAATGAGATATGAGTTTGGTCAATTAAAATAATCATTCGTTAAAAAAAGTTTTTAGTGTTTGATAAATGTTGGCATGTTAATTATAATGGTATTTTTTGAAAAAAAAAAAAGTTAAATTAATTTAGTTCTTCTGTATCATATTTAATAATTGATTTTAAGTATTTTAACGTTTGGAATATTTTTTCTCATATCCATTATTTAATAATACATATTCTAAACAATACAATGCTATACAATATGTATATTCTATACAATCAAATTATACTATATGAATGTACGAGTACACCAAGTTATCGTCGTATTAATGTTTTCGAATGAAACGATTTTATTATACAATTACGTACATACCTATTCAGAGCCATTTTTAGCTGTGCAGGGGCCCTCGTGCACACAGAGCTTAAAGGCTCTTTTAAAAGCAAGAGATATTCGCTTTTTCTTTAAGTTCTTTAAAGGTTTTGACTTTTGCATTGCATTTAGTTTGTCCTATATAAGATTTCCGGGGACGTCCTGCAATTTTATTTTTTTCTATCATACCCTCTAATATTATATTATGTAATTCTTCTAGATGTCTTAGGGCATGTTCTATCATTTTTCAGCGTCTTCCTCTAATCGCATCTATGAGTGCACGTTTTTCTCCCATTGTTATAAGTACTTCTTCATTCGTTTTCCGCTCTATCCAGCTTATCCTTTCCATCCGCCTTCAACATCACATCTCGAAGGCTTCTAGTTTTTTTCCTTTCGATATCATTTATTACCCAAGTTTCACATCCATATGTTGCAACACCCATACATATGTTTTTATAAGTCTCTTCTTGATATTGAAATGTATCTTTTTTAAAGTGAGCAACTTAAGTTTTTTACTAAAGGCAATTTTTGCTAATGCTATGCGTTGTTTTATTTCGTGGACAGTTTTGCCATCAGATTTGATTTTGCTCCCTAGGTATAACATTTCTTCTACTTGTTCTACTTTTTAACTACCTATGTATGCATCAGCCTTTACTTTCAGAACTCTGGCGCAGACTAAGATCTTCGTTTTTGTACTATTTATTTTCATTTCTGATGTTCTGAGCATTTCATTCATTTCTTCAATTGCACACTGTAAGTCACCTTCACTCACTACTATTACCACTATGTCATCGGCAAAACGTATCATTGAAACGATTTTAACTATTTAAACTATTTTAATTCCAATATTTAGTCTTGTTAGCTTTGCTTTCACTATATTTATAACTTTTTCGATATAGCAGTTAAAAAGTGGTGGTGATAACGTACACCTTATTTGAACTCCATTATTTATTTGAGCGTTAGTTGTAAATTCTCCTTTTTTAATGCAAGCTGTTCGATTCTTGTACAGATTGTGGATAATTCTTAGGTCTTGTTGCTCAACACCTATTTCTCGTAGTGCGAGTAACATTTTGTTCCGATTTACCTTATCCAAGGCCTTCTCTAAGTCTACGAAGGCCAAATATGTAACTTTATTTCTATCGATCTGTTTTTCAATTAGCACTCGCAGTCCTAAAATTGCTTCTCGTGTGCCTTTTGATCTTTTAAATCTAAATTGGTCGTGTTTTAAATACTGCTCCACTTTTCCTTTTATTTTTCGATTTATTATTTTTGTTAGGATTTTTGAAATGTGTGTTAGTATTCTAAACTGTTCACAGAAATTCGCTCTATTTTTCTTTGGTATAGTTACAATTATGCTTTTACAGTAATCATATGGCACATCTCTTTTCTCATATATATCCTGAGTTAGTTAATATAAGGTGTCCTTCATCTTCGTACTTACCCATTGCAATAATTCTGCTGTTATGTTATCAGTTCCAGGTGCTTTATTTTGTTTCAACTCATAGAGCGCTAGCTCAAATTCTGATCTTAAAATGGGTAGCTTCGTTTCTTCCTCACTTGTTGTAAATTCTTCGAATTGTTCTTCCCCATAAAGCTCTTCAATATACTCTTTTCATCGTTTTATTCTGTTCTCAAATTAGAACTTCTCCCAAATTAGAATTTTTAAATTCTGATTAGGCAGATGAACTTGGTTCTAGTGCTTCAATTTAAAGCAAGTTCAATGATCTCAAAAAATAGGGTCCTTAAACTCGTTAATAATATGCCAATGGGAGGCGATGATTTCTTAAAAATACATATTCATTTCACCAATAGTATGAGTACAATGAAATTAATAAATGTTAAAATTAATCAAATTCCAATTAAAGTCAGTAAAGTCAACCAATCTCCTCAAAAACTCTTACACCTCCATCAATAAACGACGAAGTAATAAATTATGTAGCAATAAAGGAAATAGACACTATAAGAGTAAATTATCATTTGAGAAATCTTAACGAAATTTTTTGATTTCATTATTCCATCAATAGAAAAGGTAAAAAATCAAATCAATATATGCGCAACTAACTTAAATGTTTAATAACAACAGATATACATACAATACCATTATTATAAACCCAGGATACATCCGAAGAAAATTGGGGTAATATATTAACTAACCCTAGAAAAAAAAAACCAATATAAATGTATTTGATACCAAATCGAGACATTTTACTAAGCACTTAGATTTCAGAGCAAAGACAAAAGTTATTACCTAACCTAACCCAGACTTACAAAAAATGGAAATCACTCGGCGTATAAGTCTATACAACTAGATGATAAAAGCATTATGTTTTCAAATACCTTTGATTTTAATTCAATTACACAAATTTTAGTAGTTGTATATTGTGATAGTAATAAAAATGCATTATTTTTAACAAAGAGAAAAGATGAAAGTATATTATGATACCTAGTTTACTCCGAGATGGTATAACTATTTAAACTTATAAAAAACAAGCCAATAGGTTATGATAAAGCAGTTTTATCCAGGAGAGCCGATGGCCGACAAAACTTTCTTATCAGTTGAACCAGCATTAGATAGTATGCTCAGAAAATTAATATAAATGATTAAAGTGTAAAAATCGTAGAAAAATGTGGTTTATGTGTACACGAAAAGGAATAAAAGAAACCATATATCATTGTGTGTCGGAAAATGATCCAACAAAAAAAAAAATTGAAGAGTTATTAAATTTTTAAATGAAATGCCTTTATGACTTCACTCGATGTAAATTATGTTCAAAATTATTTAACTTAATACATACATTTGGTCACCATTTATTTTTTCATATTAATTAATAAAATATTGTTTTCTCCGCCGCAATTATATGTGCGTTAGATTACGTGTTTCTAATATTATTACCCAACCCGTGTATACTATTGACTGTTTGTGGACAAATATTTCCAAATATTAAATTTCTTTTTTGACACTTTGATTTAATAGACCTTTTTATTTTAACAATGCTTTTTGTCAAGCATTCCATGCAGTCATATCATAAAGAAATTCTGCGGTAGATATAACCAGTGAAGTGTTACCTTACGAGTGTTGTTATGTTTGAACGAATACCGGTCATTAAGTGCTGCAGTGGTTTTAAAACGAAAAAAAAAATATATATATAAAAGTAAATACTAAAGAAGAGTGTTCAAAATTCTAGTTAATTTTTATTTGCACCTATGCTGTGTAGTCTTCTACCGATATTTCATTTTTCGTTAGGACTGTAATGATCACACGTTTAGCATAAGATACTTGAATTTTTCTTCTCGTTTCATGTTATAAATAAATATATTTTTATTTTCGAGAACCCATAGATAACTGATTGAAGATGATAATTTTGTCTAGAAAATATTTATTCACACGGTTTACCTTGATAAATTTACCTATATAATTGTATTCATTATTTTAAATTTGTTTTGTTATTTATCACTTTTTTCATTTATGGTACCTACATTTACAATGTTATACAATGTTTAAAATTTACAAATTTGAAATTTCAAACTTTAATATAATTTCGATAATATTTAGGTCAATGATAACTTTTTTTTCGTAAAATATTTGAGGATAACAACATTTTATAAATTAAAGTTTAAAAATATTGTTTTTACTAACTGTTTAAGTGTGACATCTAGCGATGGAGATGTACTAAGACTTAATGTAAGTTTTTTATAAAAATTAATAACATAAATAAAATAATTGAATGTAAAATAAGTTATAATCATGAAAAACTTGAGAAGTCTGTTCTAAATAGACAGTAAATTAGTAATGTTTAAAAAATAAAAGCTATAGATGATGTGTGCGAAAGACAATGCAAATTAATTCATAATGAGTTGCATAAGGAAGATATAGGATCGCTAATTTTTACTGTTTCTCGTATTAGTGATAATATTCACCAAGCTCGATCTCATATTTTACTAAAATCATTAACATCAGTTTATGATATCCATGAAATAGTTGAAATTTTAGAAATCATGACAAACTGAGGGGAAAATATCATATTTGTTTATGATTGTGAAAATAATATTATTAGATTTTCTTTTTCTGTGAATTTTAAATAATTGGCTAAATTAAATATTTGGTTTATTAATGGCACATTTATTAGTACTCCAC